GTTTCCTACCACTCGTCCCTTCACAGAAAGATAACATCACTTACTTTTTTTGTCTTGGAAAAAACTTGAAATTCACATTTTTCCCGGGGTGGGAACCTGGAAAGGGAATTTTATCCTACAGAGGAGGTGCAGGGGGCAGGGAGCTGCATGTACCTGGCACTTTTAAGGATGCACTCACCAACTCTGGGGGCTGGGGCCCAGAAGACAGCTAATGAAGGGTAACATGATCTATCTTTTGTGTGAGGTGAAGGAGTTTTGGAGCCGGGCAGAGAAGGGAGGGCTGAGCCAGCCAGGAGCATGCACCGACTAGCACCAAGGCAGAGAAAACAGCTCTTGGAACCACTTCCATAAATTTTCTTTTCCTTGAAGCATCCGACAGAAAAAGAGAGAGGGGAAGGGAGGGGGGGGAAACAGGGAAGGGGGGAGGGAGACAGATGGAAGTGTGAACGGAGCTGTAAAACCTTGCAAAAGCAGGGCTAGGCAATCATTCCATGTTTTGGCACTGCTGCCTCCTTCGACGGCTGGAGAGCCTCACTTTTAAGAGCTCGCTGCTCTCCTCCTCGGCTGCTTGTCCCGGAGCCTGCCCGTGGCTCGGGGTTGATCTCAGAGAGCTCTGCGTGAAGGAATAAATAAATCAATGGAGCCGGAGGACTCGGCGAGCAGGCAGGGACACGCGGAGAGGTGGGGAGGGACCAGGAATCCCCCAGCAGCAAAGCAAAGCACAGCACCTCCCAGCTGGGCAGCCAGACACCAACCTCCTCGTCTTGGCTACCACCAGCCCCCCGTGGGGTCGGCATGGCTTTGTCCCCTCTGTGGGACCACGAGCAGCCCCCGAAGGGTCTTGCAAACACGTCCAGCTCCACACACAATCCCCTCCAGTGCCAGGCATGCTTGGAGCAGTCATAAATGGAGCCTGAGAAATGACTCCTCTATCATACTTGGGGCCTGAAAATTGCAAAACAGAGCGCTCGTGCAAAAGAAACTTTCCCTCTGACGTCTGAAGCTTTCTCCCATGTTTCTGTGCTGAGGAGGTATTTCTTCGCGTTAGGAAAATGTGAATGGGAACTAAGTCAATGTAAACACAGCATATTCATCAGATTTTTCCTTTTTTAGTTCTGAGTACTTCAAACAACAATGAAATATAAACAAAAGTTACTTGTTTTTAACCTATATTAATAGTGGCTGGGCCATTAACTGTTTCCTTCTCCATCATCCTGATAACAACACGTGGTCTGTCCTATGGTAGCTCCCAGGCAAGCAGTTCAAACACGAGTTCCCAATGCTATCCCTGTTTTGTAAAAGTGTGTGTTCAGCAGAGGGGGCAAAGTCCTTTCCCAGTATCATGAAAAAAGCCTCATCCAAACCCCTTCTGAAGCAATGAAACAGTTGCATTGACTTCATCTGGGGATTTGGAAAAGACCCTGAGTCAGAGTGTGGAGCAGCAAAACCACATCTGTTGGTGCCCTCAGCACGTCTTCTAGATTAAATCATCATCTTCTTTTATTTGGGAGAGGGAAAGGGATAACTGGAATCACAAAGGCAAAGAATAAGACTGGCTAAAGCATATAAAAGTGTTAAATTGCTCTGTGATGGTTCTAAGAAGTGCTCAGTGAAAATATTTCATATCTAATAAATGTATGACTAAGAACACAGTAATATTCACAGAGCCATAACTCCTTCCAACGAAGACTTTGAATGCAAAACAGATCAGATAGCTTCCAGACAGGGAAAAGCAGTTGGTTCTTATTGCAGCCACCATGGTAACGTCTCAGCTCCCTTTACTGTCATTCCAGATGGGAAATCAGGACAGTAGGATACGACATTACTGGCACTACAGCCAAAATTTTTCTACACTTGCTTTCAGAACCTTCTGGAGCAACTTATTCCTTTATTTTCTACACTGACTCAGGTTGATTGCTGTTAGGAAATTCCAAAGATCACTGCAATGGGAATTGTCACTGAAAGCCAAAGACCTCCTCTGTGACCTAATGGGGACAGTACTGGGTAGGATCCTGGCAATTTGGACCCCAGTCCTTGTGCTCTTAGATGACCTTGGGAAAGTCACTTTTTTTCTGGTGTGTTCAAGTCAGGAATAGTTACCTCCTTTTCAAACTGAAATGGAAGGATGAATTGTTATGATTTTTATTTTGGTCCTGTCCAGTTATTTTTCTCAGTCAATTCAGCTCTTGTATCAGGGTAACTGTTGTGTGATATCAGAGATGCTGGACAAGCTTAATCAGGGGTCACCTAGGAAATGAAGTGGGATTAAATTTTACTTGTAGTTTAAGAAGAATCCAACTATATAATCCACTGAATCATTTCAGTGTCAACCTCTTCAAAACCTATACAGTTTAAACAAACCCTAGGCTGTTGCTAAGGAAAATAGTATAATATTATAATAATTATAACAGTGATGTGTTGTAACAATTCTCTGATGGAGACATTGTTTATTTTTCAGATTTTTCTCAGGTTTATATGACGGTATTTGATTTAATTGCTTTTCATCATATGTGTTACCACCATTCTTATCTTTTATTTTCAAAAAAATGAGTAAGGATATTTATCCAAGGCTACAGAAAATCCTGGAAGTGAGGAGTGCCCATAGAATAGGAGCAGCTAAGAACTTAACAGGAATGTTGGGAAAAGTCTGAGTTCTTTCACTCCTCTCTCCATTTTTCTCACCCTTCACTCTCACCCCATGTTAGAAAATCTACAAGATAAATAGACACATCCTGCATATGTCTGCTGCAGGACCAGTTTTAGCATAGATCATCCACATGCACTTCAAACAAAAATTGGGCGTTTAATACTATACTGTGGTAGGAAATGCAGAGAACTTGTTTACTTGTTGCTTCCTCTATCCCTGGAGATGAGCAGAAGATGCAGCTTCTCATCAGGAGGGGAGGTTCCTATCCTTAATAACCCTTCTGTTGGGACTACTTTTTTCTGATTTTATACTCCTGCTTGAAAGTTTTGGCATGTGAGTTAGACAGTCCTGGAGATTTTTTCCGATATTATTACCTTCTCTGTGAAAGCTTGTATATGGCTCTGTGCTTTGCATAACTCAGGCTCATGTAAAGATAAAATATTTAAAAATATGCAATCAGGTTTTCTTTACCTTGGCCTTATTAAGTATAGAAAATAACCACTCGTGCTTGTGTTGAAGGAAAGTGTTTCTTCAGGGGTTAGTGAAATAAGCTATTCAAAACCACTAAATCCTTCCAAAATACCCTTGCAGAGCTGTCAAAGGTAGTGAGACCTCAAATTATAGTATCAACAGCATGCTGTTAATGCTGCCAGAGTTGGAGGGAAGCAGGAGTTTGACACTAAGCCTATTCAGAAATGACATAATATTCTCTTAATCAATTAATGTACATCATCATGTCGGGATGTGACCTTCCTTTTCTTGTTCTTTCCAATGTGCTCAGCTTTCCAGCAACAGGCCTGCATATGCCTTTAACCTAAAGCAAACATTATGCAAATAGAAATGGAAAATCACTTGAATTTTATTTCCATCATTTTTCTCTTGGTCAAAAGAGAGCAGAGCAGGTCTTGTGGGCATTTATTTAGCACAAAGATCCCATTTTCTTCTCTTGGAGTTCTTTGGAAAACACTACTTTGAAAGATCACCTCTTGTAATTACATGCAATCCATTATGAACCCAAATGTAGAAGAAAAGAGTGTGTCAACAGAAAGCAACATATATCATGGCACTCTTGCTGAAAAACATACCCTTGCAAACATAACAATTGCAAACAATTCCTCCTATATTTTAAATATTGCCTTTTAGATTTTAAGTGATATTGTCCTTAAACCCAAACTCATTTCTACACTGAGGCTAATTGCTGAATGTCCTTTGCCACTTAACACATCAAAACCCAATTGTTGTGCTGTCTAGCACTGCATATGCCAAGTGTTAGAAATTAAAGAGCACAGTCTCTTCAAAGGTAGAAAATTTCTAAGACTGGTCTCTCAGAACAAAACCTTGAGCTTTTGCTGTGATAGGGATGTGAAATTTTCTTTCTAGACTGATATGACAAGATTTTTTGACCTACAAAGTATATAGAAAATGAAACACATACACACAACTAAGAAGGTCTTTAAATTGGAAATCACTCATATCTGTGCACTTTAAGAACTCCAGAAGAAGCTGCAGTGTATTGAAAACACCACATTGCTCCCAAATGGGCATTAGATTTTTTTCTTGGTATGGGGCAAGGAGGGTTTGCAGGATTTACTTCCTTGTTTATGTATCTCAGGCTTATGAATTTAATATTCATGCTATTATATTTATGCTGCCTTTTTTTCTTTGCTACAAAAAGGTTTTAAAGAAAAGCCTGAGAAATAATGGTTGGATATGAATATAACTGACCTTTCGATCACCTGAGCAATATATATATAGTTCTATTTAAGCTACAAAGCTCATTGCATCTATTTTGCATACAACAGCCCTATGTCCAGGTTACACAAAATAGATCAGTGCCTGGGATAAGCATCAGCCTTTTTCTACTTAGTAATTTCAGAATTTCAAAAATTAATTAAAAATAAAGGCAGAAGGCTGGTTTGCTTCTGTACAACCATGCAGACTTGTAACTTAGATGGCTGTCTTGGTCATGGAAACCCCCAGCCAAGGGAAGTGGTTGGAGTGGGGAGGAGAGCAATGTATGCCATCAGTAGCTTTTCTCTGTGCTTTGAGAGGAAAATTATTTTTATCCATGTCAGTACCTATTTTATTCATTGATTTCCCTTATGCTTTAAGTTTCCTTGGAAATCTTTGCTATATTATTTTGGGAAGGGATTAAGTAGATGCTTTCAAAATTCTAAGGAATATGTGCTGTATGTAGTGGTTATATTGAACCAAAATGCACTGACTTCTCTGTTAAAGGTTGGACTTGATGATCTTGGAAGGTCTTTTCCAACTTTAATGATTCTATGATTCTATGACTTACTTCAACCCACGGCAGAAAAAAATTGGAATTGTAAAGACACACAGTTCTTAGCAGTGCTGTTGCTTTTTTAGCACATTGCTACCAGAGGAAACACTTGTCCAGGGTAGATCATTTTCATCCCTTGACTTCAACCTAATACAAAGAAATAGGTGGAATAATTTTTAGTTATTTATTAGTGCCACAGACATTAAATGTGTCACTACAGAAGAGAGCAAACCAAACTGAACAGATAAGAGCCTGCACGCGAGCAAAATGAGCTTCCCCCAAGTCTATAAAATCCATAACAGACTTTTGAGACTTAATAGTTAAGTTGATGGAGGACAGCCAAGACTACCAGTGCTGTGAATTAGGGAAAAGGTTGCAAGTACAGCTTGAGGTCTATGAAATTCATATGCAATTTGGAGGACAAAAGCAAAGGCTATGAAGAAAACTATGCTGCCAGCTAAACAGGCCCCTATTTAGTTCAAGTCTTAAGACAGCAGGTTGGTGCAGGTAGATAAAATCCCCTCTATCCCAGCCTAGAAAATAATGAGAAAAAACCCAATGCTACCTTGAACTTATTGGCCTTCTCTTGGTGGGTGAAAAAAAAATTCTGCCTGCCATTTTTCATAATTTCCATCCTCTTTCTGGCAAAACACCCCTTTTTTGCTTGTTCAACTAAACTTACCTTATAGCTCATTTGCTGAGGAGCACATGTTAAGAATCCCAGAGGACTACTGCTTGGTTTTTTAGGCTGAGCATGTAATATTTCTTTCCATTAATATTCCTTGGATGTACCTGTTTTGCTTCAGAAGCAGTGTCTATGTCAGTGAGCACTGCTAGGCTTAAGACCACAGTGGTTTCAACACGCACTGGTGATTTGACCCCCATAAAGAGTATTTCTTTAGGTGAAAAACTTTAGATGAAAAATCATTCTGAAGAGAAGCATTAAGATTTCACTGTGCTAAGTGGTGATTAGAGAGACTCAGGAGATGTAACAGTGACAGCACCTTCAATGCTCTGCACTGATTCCCTGGAGATCCTAGAAAAGGTAGGTGAACTCCTCCATCTGCCACTGCTATTGTTGCTGAAATAAGCAGCCAGAAGAGAGTGAAAAAAGAGGACAGTGAAAAGAGCCAGAAAAACAACATGGCCAGACCAGTGTGGGCAACCTGTACCTGCAGTGCTCACTCACAAGAGCCCCCCATTCCAATTAACAGGGGAATGCTTCAGCCTGCAGAACGGTCCATGATGTCTGGGGAAGCAACATGAGACAGCTTGGTTTTTGCAGAGCAGTCTGATATATTCCATATGGTACAGGAGCAGTTTTTTACTTCATCCCTCTTTATCTAGGCAGCCTTGGATGGAGAAACGCCGAAAGCGCGGAAACAGAAGGCAGAAGGAAAAGTCAGAAACCATCGTCTGGTTTCTGCAGAGGTTGAGCACTGTTTGGTTTGGCTTTCAGACGTGGCAATTTAGCAACAGGAAATGTCAGCTCATTAGAGCCATCGCATGGCATCGTCTGATGATAGCAGTCGTTCCCGCTGGCAGGGCTCCAGCCGTCACACTCCGTGGGGAAACGGCACGGTTTGATATCAATGTCTCGATTTCATTTTTAACACAGGACAGTTTAGTGGGCTAGTGGACTTGGCAGGCTGTTAACAGAATTAATTTGATTGCCTTGGCAGTGGTAGGAGGATGCATGAAGGAAACCTTCTGGCTCCGTTAGCAGCATTTAATACCAAATGATTATCATATACTATTGAACCGGTGCTCGGATGAAGCATGTGTGAGGGCTTGCAACAACTTTACCAAAAATAGTAAGTGCCATTTGAAGTTGGCAAACATGTGTGCTCGAGAGAAAACAAGCTTTCCAGTTAAAGCCAGTCAGAACTTCACCCTGCAGGCCTGTTACTTGTCATGTTCCTGGGCTGTGTCATTTTTCATCCATGCTCCGGCTGTGAAAGTACTGCTTTGTATTATCTGCCACTGAATTATATTAAAAGCCACAGCTGTCTGCTGTTGATGGAGACTGTTTCCACTGGAGGATGGATACCTGCAATAATGACAGCTGGATTTGCTGTTGGACAACTTGTAGTCTTGGCATTCAGCTTGTTATTTTGCCTGTAAATGCACTGGGGAGAGTATCGCACGTGGAGCTGTGTGTTTTATGTACGTAAACCTCTCATCTTTGGAATGAAAGAAAATGCCACTTGGCACATGACTCATTTCTATAAATATCCTTTCTTTAGGTACTTATAATGCAAAGGACAGTCAAGAAGAATCTATGTATCTGGTAGGATTTAGCTGGTCCCTCAGACCTCCAGTGGTCTTAGTCCAAGTGACTAATGGTAAAACAAACGTGAGCGTTTCTCATCCAAAGGACTGAAAGTGTTTTAAAAGCGTTCAGGAGAACCAGTTGCCTCTCCAAATTTAAAGCTGCAACTCAGTTTCCATGATCAGGCCAATATTGGCTCCAAATCCAAAATCAACACAAAATGGAATATCTATCTCAAAACTGGCACGAGACCCATGTCTGAGGAAGAAGTTTTCTGCTAGATTTGCGGTGAAGTGCAACAAAAGGCTCCTGATTTTGGACACTAAAATTGAGATGTTTCAGCCATCCAGAAAGCCCATTGTTCCTCTAGCTCCCTTCCTCTCGCTGTACGTCACACATACACACACACTTTCCCAATTTTGCCGCCTTGGAAAAGCCACCAGGTTGTCTGCAGAACTGGCACAGATTTGGTGTGAAAAGGGTCCAGGTGTATTTTATCCCTGGCACAGATATGCTCCAAGAGCACCAGAGCCTTCTGTTGGCTGAGAGGTGCTCTGGGTTCCCATTTCTGCTCAGTGTGGCTCTCAGCCTCCATTTTTATAAAGGCACTGAAAGGTGTTATCATCAAGACTGATAAACAGTTCCAATGAGACACATTTGTTTTGTAAAAGCCAAATTTTAATTCTTCATAGAGTGGCTTGGGATGGAAGAGACCTTAAAGTTCATAAAAGATCATCTGGTTCCAACCCCTTCTGACAAAAGAAGAGGAAGGTGTTTCTGAGAAACACTCCAACACTGCACTGTTTTGTTTTGGCAATATTCAAAGGGGAATTACTGTAGCAGCAGCAGCATCGTCATTACTATGTGTCTTTGATTCTCCTTGCTCCTTATTGCTTTCAATTGAAAAATGCTGGGCAGAGTGAGATTCTGCTTTTGCCTTGGCCATTCTGCAGCTTTCTGCTTCTGAAAAATCCCATTTCTCGCCATTCTATGGCTTTTCAAAACCTTAATAAAGAGAAAATGGGAAAAGGAAAGAAATGATAGAAACCTACTAGATTTTCTGTTACAGGTGATTGCAAAAAAAAAAAAAAAAAAGAAGAGAAAAAAGGAGAAAGGAAGGGGGGAAAAGGTTTAAAGCATCAATATTTATTTTCTGAAATTATCAATACAGAATTAAAATTAAAGCAGAAGGGTCTATGGCAAAGTCCAATTTTGCACTACAAAAAATAAAAACGTTGATCCCCTATAGAATCTGTTAACAACTTTGTTAAAGGCGTAGCAAAGACGAAACTCTGGAAGATAAATTTCAATGATTTTTTTCAATAATAATTCATTCTATCATTTCCTACCTTCTTTGATCTCCACTGAACCTGAACAGTTGCATTTACATTTCAGTGCTACGTATACTCACATTTCTTCCAACACACTGCGGTGTGTGCACATGTAGGTACATATGTCTGCATGCACATGGGAGCATGGAAAGCCCAGGAATTCCTCATGGAAAATATCACTAAGCTAATATTTTAATGGCAACTTCTGCAGAGTAAATAGATATTTTATACAGATAGATCAGCTCTCCTGGGACAACAGAGAAGACGATTCTTTATCCAAGCATTCCCAGGACCAATTTATGACTGCTGCAGCCCACTAACAGGTGGTTTGTCTGCATGAGATCATACAGCAGTGGCCATCCAAAAGTTTTCTGGTACCTCACACTCAATCAAAGTGATCTGCTTTTATAATTCACAACATGATTGAAGGAGCAGCAGTGTGACCAGCACTCTGTGGCACTGCTCACCTGCTCTTCCTTCTGCTGGGGTAGATGGGAAGGGAAAATAAATGGAAAACGAGAATATATGGATTTTAGCTGTGTGTGCCTTGCCAGCCACAAAGCAGCCACCATTCAGCTGCGATGGCCACTGTGCCCTCAGACAAACAGGGGAGAGTTCCCTGTTGGTGGAAAAGGAATGAGAAGGAAAATCTGATCTCTCCACCAGTGGTTTTTCGTGCTGTTTGTCAGTGGCTCTGAGAGAATGGGACCATGACCTGATCAAACAGCTGTGGCCCTGAATGCCTGGGGAGGAAGGAAGAAAGGAGGGATAACGGCTCCAGCAGCTGGAGCAAAAAGGGAGGGAGGGGGCATGGAAGGGCTGTGGGTTGCTCTGGCAGCTGCTCTGGGTGGCTGGGCACAGATTCCCCTGACGAGTTCAAACAGGGCACTGAAGCCTGTCCCAGATCTCAGCTCCCAGGGAGGGAGATGCAGCTGGCGTGGTCCTCATCATGGTGGCTTTGGGCTGGACATCTTCAGGTAGTATGGGATGGGAGAGAAAAGGGCTGGTAGGAAATAAATTGTACCCTCCAAAGAAGGTCAGCCAGAGGAGAGGGGTGGGCAGCGAGCTCAGATGAAGAAAAGCATCCCAGAAAGGGAGGAGGAATGCGTAAAACCTGAAAATGATGAATAGGTAAAACCTGAAAATTATCTGCTTTTTCTGCAGCTTAACGAAGACACAGAGAGAGTAACTGTGCACCAATAACTACAGTGAATAATTCCATTCCCATGATTCTGCTTAAAGAACTTGAGATCTCATTTAATTTTTATATATATATTCCATTTATTAATAAACAGCACTCTGGTTCCTGATGGAATTTCACAGTCAGATGTTTTCTTCTAAATATCTTTGGTAGGTAGAACTTGAATCTCTTAGGATGTACCTTAAAAAAAAGTAATGCTCAGAGCCTAACAAGCCTGCTAACCCAACGGTGACAATATTAACCACAAGCTGATGCTAAGACAGCTTGGGACCAAGTTACATCCAGTTTTAGAGCTTGCACCTGGCCTTGGTGATGCCTGGATTTCCTTTGTGGTTTTGCATTCATATTTTCCTTGGTTTCTTCGTGCTGCTTTCTCACACTCACATGAGAACCCCACACAACCAGGCGAGCTGTCTGACTAATCAGTGGTGTAAAGGAAACAATGACCATGAGCAAAGCTCTCTCAGCAGCATAAAGCGGGAAAAAAACTGGGGTGGGAGAATCTGAGTTGTAATCAAAGAAATTACAGTTAATGCAGTTAATGTAGAGAGGGGGAAATGTTCAGAAATATACAACTGGTTTAGGACCACCCTTTACACTCTTGTTTCATCTGCTGGCTCTGGTGTGACTCCCTGCATTTAAATTAAATTAGGTGTTTCAGAGAAACATTGGATTTAGTGAGATGGCTGCAGTGCATGGAGTGTTAAGACTTGCCCTCCACATCTTGAAATGGTGTAGACCAGAACTATATATAATTGTATACGTATTAACACTTTAGGTTTGATAGGAATTACTGGGTTTGCTTAATATTGAGATTCGACAAGTTATTTCAATACAAGGGAATTGATATCTTTCCCAATGTAACAGTAAGTTAAATATCCATCAATTGCAAAAACAAGCATGGAGTTTTTTTCTTCTTCTTGAGGCTGAAGTGCCTTAGGTTGCTTTGAAAGGAAACAAAAGTAAGAAACCAGAAGTTGCTGGGAACAGCTTTAGCCTGGTTGACCACCAAAAAAAAGATATATCCTACCTGAATATATGTACATCTTTGCTCTCCATCACCCTTTGAGGGAATCTAACGGTTTTGTGGAGGGGAGAATACTGAGCTGTGGAAATATCACAGGCAAGGAACTGTACAGGGTTTGTTGGAAAGTCCACATTCACTTGGAAGTAGCACATTTTTATTCTTTGGTGTTCTTAGAGGCGACTTGATATACTTGTAACTTGAGCTCTGGGCACTGTCAGTGTGAAAAGCAAACAGGGACGCAATGTTCCATGGCAGGTATTTTCAAATATATTCCAAAGGCGAGCAGTGCTGCAGGATATTTCCTAGGGAAATACAGGTCTTTCAGTGTGGCCATGATTGCCCTTATGGTGTAGCCTTGTGTCCAGCCTGGAGGAATCTTCTCAAGACAGTTACAGCCTGTTTATTCTTTGCAAGTTGAAGATGTGTAGAAAATCAGGGAATGCCCCAAGCTTGAGTACCTATAATCACTGTGACTTTATTAGCCAAAATCTTTGTTTTTATAGCCATCCTGATAACGTTAGAATTACACCTGGTGGGCATATCTGCCATTTAGCTGGAAGGCTCTAAAGAGGATTGCTGAGGCACTAGTAGGATTGATAGGGAATATTTATAGCCAGTAGAAAAATTCTGCCTGTTGAAAAGTTTGTTCCACCATTCCAATACATGATGCTTGCAATGTCATGACCCCCAGAGCACAGCACATAATTCTCTGAGAGAGTTTTAGGGGGTGCATCAAAGCCTCAGTGATATAATGAAACAAAATAAAGGGAGGGTTTTTCTCATTTCTATGTAGAATTTCTATTTCAAAGGGAACATACACTGGAACTAAGCTGAGGTGATCTCCGTTGGGCTGTCCAACATCTAATCGTGCCACGTAAGATGGTGTCATTTTTGGCAAACGACTTATTTTGGACATATATAATGGCAAACAGTGTTAAAATGCATTATCAGAGGTTATGTGACTCTGATGCCTGCTCAGCTGGTGCTACAAAAAAAATCTAGGAGCCGTTAGTTGGGGTGAGATAAGAAAGGGTTTAATTAACCAAGGCAATAGATGTTACACGACGCGCGCGCTGAGCTGTGCCCGGGATGTTACATTTATAACAATATCTGGCCAATCCCAAGTGTGTCCACCCTATAACTTTTGGCCTGGTCCACCCCCTGGCCCGCCTCCTGGAATTGGGTCGGGGGGCTTTTTGGGACCCCCTCTTCATCATTCTTCATCATCTTCGGGGTACAGAGAGCAGAGTCACCCAGTTCCTTGACTCTGTCCTGTGGTTTAGGCCAAGATACAAGCGTTCTCCAAACAAGACAGGCTTGCCTTGACAAGAGACAAAACATTTTCTACTGGATATGGGAATAGGGTTGATATGGGGGTATGGAATGGGGTGAGAGGATTAAGGAATGTATAAACTAAGGGGTACTACGGGGAGGAGGGAGAAAAGGGTTTGTTTCTAAAATCTACTTCTATTACCTATAAAACTTGTAAAGCTTACAAAATTAGAAAAATAAAAAACATTAGGGGGCTTAAGGCATCACTGTTTGGAAAACAGGACAACAGTGAGAGGTTTGAGGCAGCATGAGCATATACTTTCCAGGAGCATCTCTGAAACCACTGCTTCACCTCTCTGACACTGAACTGCAGTCTTTAATGGCCTGAGCGTAGCAATAATAGCAGCAGTAATAGCAACAACAACTATTACTGTTATTTTTGTTGTTATTGTTATTTATTATTATTCAAGGCAACTATAATAATGATTTTGCAGCTGATCTGTGTTTGTGTTTCCTTGTGTGGTGCTGACTGGAGGGGGCACACAGCTGGCGGGCCCTGCACGGTGGTGGCATCTTCCCGACATGCACCATTATTTCCAGATCAGCAGTTTTCTTTTGACCTGCCCTAAACTCTGGCCTATTCAGAGGAATAATGCCTGCAGGAGAGATACCTCCAGTATAGCTCTTAGTCCTTTTGTGAGGGGTTTCCCAGATCCATTTTTTTTGGTCTAGAAGTGTAGCACAGAGATTTGTGTGAGAGGGTTGATTAAATCCCAACTGTGCCATACAATCTCTGTCCCAAAAAGTCAGGACTGTTTCAGGTGGGCAGAGCAAGGCCTGCCCGAAGGACCAGCATCATCTTCAACAGCAATGTGGCATCATTCTTTTTGCCAAGTGTTAAAAAAGCACCGGGACTCACAGTTTCTCACAGCACGGGAATATTTAATGAGGAGGGAATTGCACTTGCCAATAGCACTCTTTTCCACATAGTGGCCTTAAAAGTTCATTACAAAGCACAAATATCACTGGTGTTGAGAGGCATCTCAAAGGCCACCACAGGGTGGGTTCTGCAGTACAGCATGCCTTGTGGCTTTGTCATCTTTCACACAAAATAGGGCTGAACTGAACCTAGAAAATCAGCTTTTCCCTTCTGAGGTTATTTAGGGTGATTTTGGAAGTCTCTTTTAAGACCTTTAACAGGCTTGTGAGGACAAATTATTGAATTGCTTTTTTAACTGCCACACAGCGAAGATTCTGGCCCTATAGAGACAGTTGGAAAGGGGAAAAAAGGTGGGTTTTTTCCTTTTTTTCTTTTTTTTTTTTAGAAAAACAGTTTTGCCCAAAAGCAAAATTTGCATTCCAGAGGCAATACTGCATTTTTCCAAGCTTACCTTCTCTCCCACTCTCAATGGCCCACCAGGAAATCCAAAAAGCTCCAGCAAGTCACAGGGCTTTGTGGAGCTGCTTCAGACACTCCTGGCTCCTTCTGGTGAGGGAAAGGCATTCTTATCCATAGAAGGGCCAATCCAGCCAGAAAATCGTGCCTGGAGGCCATGGCACCATGGGGATCTCTGGCTGCCCCTGAGGGAGCTGGATTACCACTGACAGTCAATATTTTTATGTTTTGTTGGCACTTTTCAGCCACAGTATTTTAATGACAACTCTAAGCTGGTTTTATATACAAAACTTCAAGTCAAGAAAATTTGTTTCCACAGCATTTGTTTTTAAAATAGGGAAAGAAATCTTTAAGCCCCATGCACTAAGGGTTTTCTCCACAGAGAGAAGATCATGTTGCAAAGCATCCAAAGGAATACAGCGTATTTCAAATGATCGTGTTCTGTTTATTGCCATTGAGACCTCTCTGGTTCCCCAGCTGTCACAGACTAATATTGCTGTGGTATTACAGTTTCATACTGGTGAGTTTGTGGACAGCTTTCAAGCTGATGGCTGTGTGAGACACATTCCCAAGCTCTGCATTTGGACTGCCATTGGCATCAGCCTCAAAGGTTGGATGAACGGGACAGGCTGGCAATTTACTTTATCAACACTAGGAATAAACCAGGATGTTCCCCCAACAAAAACGTAATTTATTCTTTTTCAAGAAAGACACATTACCAAATTTTCAGTTGCTGTGGATCATCTGGTGAAAAAAATAATCCGAGAGCCCACAAAACCAGGTTCTACTCATGAGTCATTCTGTAACCTGAGGTAAGTTACTTATCACCACCTCCTTGCCTCCAACTTCCCAGACAAACTGAAGAAAAATCAAAGAAAATCAATATCCTTCCCCACCCTTCCCTTTAAAATATTCAGGCAAAAGGTGTTAGGCAAGTGAAAACCGTCCCACATCTGGAAATATTTCCATTGCTGATTTACAGAGGAAAACAACAATTTGACCCCATCACTTTGAAGAAAGGTAGAGAAGCAGTGCTGCTTGAACTAAAAAGGGATTTGGTTTATTTTGTTAATTGCAGTCCTTTTGAAAAATGATACTTAGCCTGCCAGTGAGGTGCTAATTAATGTGAGGATGTGGTGCACCATATAATGAAGACTGCTAGTGAGGAATGTGAATGAAGTAGAGATTGTTCCTGAGGTGTTGATGGGTAAACAAGATTGCTGCAGAGGTGGGCCACAGCTAAGCTTGACTTTGCATTTTTTGCAAGCTGTTGCCTTGCTCCTTGTGTTCATTTGTAGACATTTTCCATGGTGGGAAACTGAGGAAGAGGAAAATCCTTCCCTTGGAGCCACCACTCTGAGTTTTCAGGCACAGCAGTCTTTAGGATGGGGCAAAGCTCAGAGCAGCAGCATTAAAAAAATCACTATGTAATGAACCATCAGCATTTTAAAAACATAATTAAGATTCTGTTCCTCACACCCTAATTTTATCTGAAACTCTGCCTGCTTGTCTGATTGTACATGAGAGTGTGTAACTGTGGCCTCCACATTGACAAAAACCTTTACACTCAGTTTAGAATCAACAGCATTTTGGTTTTGCATCTTAAATCTCTTCAGTTTTCCTCTTGACCATTTTTGCTGTTCAGACAGAAACATGCTGTAAAACACCCCATTCATGGAGAAAAAAAAATAATTTTTCTGGTCCACAATTATTTAGGAAGGTTTTCTTGGTCTATCACACAGGGCTTTGCACTTAAGACTTTTCCCATGCAGACACATGGAGGAGCAGTTTGCTGCCATATATTGGTATTATTGATAATAGGGTGGTACTATGGTTCACCCCTGCCAATGACTGTCTTTTGCAGCCATTGTTAGCTTACAATCAAATGTGAAAACATGCTAGTGATGCACTTAAGAAATCTTCCTGAAATAATAAGCATCCCATGTCCCCAAATTGTGTTATGTTTGATATGACCATTTAAACAACTGTCTGAAGTATAATCCTCACAGACTGGAAAGGGTGAATTTAGGCAAGCAGAGTATGCAACCAACCGTGACTTAGTTGCAGACAAGTGCAGCCATATCCTTTTGGGAAATTCATGCTCAGTAAGGTATTTTTCTCCATTTTGTTTTGAATTATACAAGAGGACAAGCCCCAAGTAGTGTCCAGTCTGTGGCTGGTCCTAGTATAAGATATGGCTCTTCAGCAAGTGTATTTTATTCAGATATTGGAAATAAAATCCTCCAGCTGTGAGGAGGAGGCTATCACAAGCTACCTGAATAGTATCAAGTATTTCATGAACCCTTCCTAATGGATGAGCTCAGACACACCAACCCCCCAGCAGATGTGTTCACTTCTTTAGAAGGCAGACAAATAGGACTATGAGCAACGAAGGAGGAATATCCACTCTGCTAGAAGAAAAATAGGAAAAAGATATATTGAAGTATCTGGGAGTGCTTACACTCGTTACTCAGAGTCAGAGGAAGGAGCTGAGGGTCAAAGGAAGGACATCGAGTCCAATCAAGGGTGTGTGTAGGCAACTTTTGGTTGTCAGCTGGCCAACGTTAGTGTCACCCTGCTGTCAGCACTGCTCTTCCACCCCGGGGAGAGGTGTCCAGTGGAGCACAGCTGGGTGAGGAACATTCCAGTGCCTCAGCAAACAGCAATGCTCCTGGCAGCTGCCGGCACTGGGAGAGGCAGAGCAGCTTCCATGCAGGTGCATTACAGCCACCAGCTGCCGTGGTGACACCCTGTGTCCTCGTGTGGAACACCTGGCTGAGAATAAGGAGCTGGAACTGGCCACTCTAACACCATTTTGGGCTTCCTGAGTAGATTTTAGAGTACACGGTGGCCACAGGTTTTCCCAGCCTAGAGGAGATGCTTTTCCAGCCAGTGTGATATACCAGCAGATGAGGAAAAAGGGAGAGGATTGACCAAGTCTCTCATGAAAAGAATATTTTACCTGGAAAAATGCAGTTTTGAAAAATGCATTGTTGTACTGTGACCAAAATGCTTTCTCTGATGAAACGTTGTGGTTTCTCCTTTGGAAGAAATTAAAGGAAGGATATAATTTTGACATACAGAGGTGTTGTACAATGGATTGTATCGTCTAAAGGTTGCTTTTTTCCTTTCTAGAAATATTTCTGAATTCTTGTGCCATTGCATTTTTAACTCCCTGTTCCAAAGGGAGAATAACTTTGTAATATTAAAAAAATAAAATAATCATGCTGGATAGCAATTCTATTTACTGATTTCTCTATACCCCTATATATAATATTTCTATAACCCTGCTGGCTATAAGTTTCATAAGTTAATAATTTTTTCAACTGCACCATTTATATGGTGTGGAGATTTGCTCATTGGCAGTCCGAATACTCCAGGCTTGCCATATATTTCATGTGGAAAAGCAGAACTTTCCCAGATGTGGAATCGCAGAATTTTGTGATTTTTTTTTAATTTACCTTGATAGGGCCAAAGCGAAATCTTATTGATTGTAGACAACTGTGAAACCATTTGATCAGCATTGAGCAGAGTACAGAACTATTTTTTTTTCAGTCTTCAAAAGATCATTGTTATTTTAAAAAATTAGCAAGACTTTTTTAAAGAGACCTTGGGTAAGAGCTCCTTTTGTTTCCAAAGATTGTCTCCACTTCTCACACACATTCAACCCACTTCTGGATATATATTTAAGGCAGAGAGAGCTCCAGGCTGTTTGTACAATGAAATTGGTAGGAGACAATCTTTCATTCGGTCACACAATTGTGCCCTTAGAATATAAGCTATGAACACAACTAGTGTGATAATTAAATTATTTGAAAAGGTTCCTAATAAAATAAACAGTTCCACATCATCTTGGTAATAAGAGTAATCTTACTTTCAGAAAGTGCACTTTATCTTGAAGACTTCCAGAGCCCCCAGTGCTGGCAGCACTTTGCACATGTCCAACCATACACCAGAGCCTGGTGAAAGGCGTGGCTTCCCCACAGGGAGGACAGCCAGAGTGCCATGCACTGCAACCTGCTTGGGAAGGGCAACCAAAAGCTGATTTTGGCATAGGAAAAGCATGACTGTGATTATACATGGAACAGGTTGCCCAGAGAAGCTGTGGATGAAAGACTTCATCCAGATGCAAAGCCCTGAATGCTGATCAACCAACACATTGACTACACATCACCTCTCCAGTGGCTCTGGGTGTAACAGCAGGGGATTTCTGAAAAACAGCACTGATAATCACAGAATCAGAGAATGGCTTGGATTGGAAGGGACCTTAAAGATGACCTCATTCCACACCCCCTGCCATGAGCAGGGACACCTTCCAGCAGATCAGGTTGCTCCAAGCCCCATCCAACCTGGCTGTGAGCACGTCCAGGGATGGAGCATCCACAGCTTCTCTGGGCAACCTGTTCCAATGTCTCACTACCCTCACAGTGAAGATTTCCAGAAAGTTCCCAGAAACAGTTCTGGTAAAAGACACCACACTGTTCTTGCTCCTTCAGTCTGGTGTTTTTCTGGATCTCCCTCACCCCAGATATGCACACAAAGCCACATTTCCACTGGTGTGAGGGTTTTTTTGTTCTCTTACAGAGAACAAATCATTTCTGCCTGTTGCATCCATAGTACTGTGGGTGAAGATGAGCACAGCAATGTAACTGAGAGTCTCCTCATTATCCTGCTGTAACTGTATCTCAGAGGTAGACAATTGCCCTAGGCTTAGATTTTCTCAAAATTTATGTGTATCAAAAGGGATCTTGTACAGGCAAAAAGCACCAAGTTGATTTTTCCAAGAGCAGCTTGCCATTTTAAGCAGTTGTTGGCTTAATAAGTGAAATAGCTCAGGGCTGTGTGCATGCCATAATGATTGCATTCTGTAAGAAAAGACCGTGCCTATGGGTCTCAAAGTTTCAGAGCCAAGACTAGTCATATTTGTGGTTTTTAAGTCGCAACCCCAAGCTATTCTCACCACTGCAGATAAGGGATAGCTGATCATAAGAATAACACTGATTTTAAAATAACTAACCACAGCAAAACTAAAATGACCTAGTCAAGCAATACAAAGGGTGTATGACTGACAAGATAGCTGTTCTTTGAAATGTACTGTAGGCAGTAAATAGCATCTTATGCCCATAAGCTATTTTCTATCTTAAAGCCAAGAATAATGATCTGGCATCTGTCCTTCCTGAGTGAGGATTCAGTTCTGAAGGCTGTGGTAGCTCCCTCCCAAGTGCCTCTGGAAATGATAGCAGGGGTGTGCTCATTGTAATTATACCATGGGGTGCTTCTCTTCTTTTATTCCAAAAGGGTTTCTCTCTAATGTAAACAGCTGGGCAGGGTGGAAATGGAAAGTTTCACCTCTTACACTTGTGCTTAGGAGGATTTAACTCACATTTGCATTTCCTTGGGGTGGGCAGCCAGACAAGGAAACGCAGTATCAGCAGGGCCAATTCCTGATTTATCTTTGTCCCCATCAAAAATTCAAGTGGCAACTAAGATTTTGTTGAACTGTAATCTAGATAACTTTACCTAATTCCACAGAATTCAAACAGCTGCCAAGCTTTTCTGTACAGCCCCTTTCTGGCCAAGGAACACATGGGCTGAGTACAGCGTGGATGCACAGGATCAGATTGTAGGCCTGCTAGTTACACATTCCCTGCATTGTGGTCTAGGCTTGGTCTACGTGCACTGGGACATAAAATACTGGGGCTCTGCATCATGCCTCGGCTCTGCCATGTTTGCTTTCTCTTTGAAAGGGGTTTTCCTTCTCTTAGTATCTCATTAGGGCTGTGGAAGAGCAGAAAATGTAAATTGGAGGCCATTTCTGTTCCTATTTCTACCCAAGTAGCTGCAGCGCACTGTTATCACTGCCTTACAATCACTGCAATGTTTCCATTTGGTGCCCTGTTTGTGGCATATTGCAAACCCAATCACATAGGGGTGCATAGGGGTGCAAATTCCTAAATTCCACGACCCTGATACCCAGTAGGGAAGAGTCCATGTTGCCAAGTCTGCAGCAGCAGCAGCAGCAGGGTTTGCCTGTAGCACTTTGGCAGCCCACCCCAGCACGTGAACTGCTCATCAACCATTCTCATCTCACAGGAGCAACAGGAATCAAGAAATGCTAATAAACCACCAAATTTTTGCCTTTCCTTCCCTCTCCCCCCCTCATTATAGGCTGGAATGCAATCTGATGAACAGAGAGCTCTTGGAACATGTCAGATGGCTTTGAGGAAAGCAAAATGCTCCCTCTTTCGGGACTGGTATGTTTTCTGATGTTGTCGTGGAGTTTTTTGTTGTTTTTCTTTCTTTTTTTTTTTAAGTGAAAAGGAGAATTGTAACTTCCTTTACACCAGTACATTAGCATAATACGTTCCTGCCTTCAGGTACTGTATGTCATTGTTATGAGTACATTTTGACATCTCTCACACTTCCAGCACTCCAAAGATCCATGACAGAGCTGAATGAAAACTTTTTTTTTGACTTGGCAGGAGCAGTAAGAACACATAAAACCTGCCAGCTGTCAAGGATGTAAATGGTGATTTTGTTTCACTTTTTTAATGAATTAAAGCGGGATTGAAATCTGTCCAAAGACAGCATGTTGGGCCTTGCAAGGAAAGAAAAAAAATGAAAGGGAGGGATTTCTTTTTTTTCCTCTTTTGGCACCTCTGCTTGGGGAGTATTTATTCTTGCTAGCACAGTATAGGACAGAGCTACTCTCCTGGAAGAGCCTTGGCTGTCAGACATGAGACATCTTATAGGGACTGGTTTCAAGAAAGGACATAAAAATACAAATTTTTGCCTTATTTCAAGCCAGGAAACTGAAAAATATTGCACCCATCACTGCTTTGGAGAAGGGTGGCAGCAAACAACTGGCAGAAGTCATTTTATGTGTCATTTACACTGTAGACACATTGAAGCCAAACTAAAATCTGATGGATTTTTCTTATAAATCACGTTTCTTCCTGACATCTAACTGATGACACTTTTGGGAGGGGGGAAGAGGAGGGAGGACAAGTGTATATTTTACTTATGAGGCTGGACTTTGAAGCATTGTGTACCTCTGAGGGACTGTATTTGGTCCCTCTGGTTTCATGGTCTCAAAGTCCAAAAGCAATTTGTGTTGGAGCTTCTGGGAGATGTCCTGAGTATGTCCTGACCCTGGACCTGTGTGAAAAAACATTGTGGTTCTGACCTCATCAGCATTGCATATTCTTAAAGTACTTTTCTTGCTATTGAAAATTAGTTTTAAAGCTTGGATGGGTAAAAAATGACTGTTTCAGAATTTGCCTGCAGTTTAGTTCTCATTTCCTTTCTTAGTTTCTTGAATTTTACACTTCAAACATCTTTGACCATTGTCCATGATTGATTCAGACTGTTTTGCCTCTGTTTGCAACACTACACTCTCATATATCTATTTATTTCATTACTCAAATTGCACATGTACATTACTCAAATCGCACATCTACTCCTCTGCTGGAGCCTTACTCTGTATCTCATGTACCTAAGCACAGTGTGACCCCCTCTCTATACATGTGTGTACATGTATTCCTCTTCAGGGATGAAAATATGGTAAAGAATTTGCCAGGTTCTTTGCTTTTTATGCCATAATTTCTGCTTAAGATTTTCAAGTGATGTCCTGTTTAAGAACTAGCCAAATTCAGATCATATTTTCCAAGCTGTGAGGGGGTTATCAGTTACGAAGGCTATCTCAGCACCTTAAAAACTGAACTGCAGAGGTCTTAAATAGCAGAGAGAAATGAAGTTTGTTCTTTTGGAAAATGTAGCACCTCTCATGAAAACAAGTTCATATTGACTGATGTTCCTGGACCAAAGACCCTCCTGGAAGCTCAGCTCAGCTTCAGCTTGGGTCAAGCCCAGTGCAAGCACATCTCCAATAAAGTGTCCTGTGTGCAGTGGAAAAGAGGTTCCATGTGCCTGGCAAGAGGTGCATGGAGCACATTAGCTCTTGCAGGGATTTACAAACAGGCTTCAACGTTGTGAACAGACCCATTAATTCAGTGTGACTTCTCAGGCAAGCCAAGCCCACTCAAGCCAGATGATTTAGACAAAATAACAGTGAAGAAATTTGTTCAGACAAAACAAAAGTTGAACGCTAACTTCTTCCAAAAACTCAAGATGAACCTGAATTTCTGAAAAAAAAAATGTGTAACTCCCTTTTCCTCCCCTCGCCTCTCCCTCAGCCTCCTAAACCCCTGGCACCTACCCACTTTAGCTGGAACAGAATGACTCTTCTCAGGTTTCCAGCCTCTCTTCAAGTAGGAAGTATAGAAAATCTCACAGGAAAGCCTTTTCTTATGAGCTTTCCAGGCAGATTTTCTGAATAAAGAGAGTCTTACACATTTCAGTTATTTATTAAGTTCTTCTGAGGAGCTTCCATCCCCAGCTTTAATAGAAGCCTTCAGACACAACATGTAATTACAGGATGAAAATCTGCTAAACCCTACAACCACTTCAGTAAACTCTGTAAGAGTGTAGGAAATATAGTGAAAGTCTGGACCCTCTTCTCCTTTTTGTGAAGAGAAATCTTCATTTAAGCAGCAATGGCAGATAATTGCAGCACTTACATGACAGAGCAGAAAAGGGTAAAATGATGAAATTGGGCAGCTCAGCAAATAAATATTAAATTGCACTATTTTCCTCACTTTGGGGCAGTTGTGCAAAGACACAGAGCAGGTTCCTGCTCTTACTGGATCCTGCTCTTACTCTGCATCTTTTACCTCTGTCTCAAATGGGTGGAACCTACTCAAAGAAATGAGTCCAACTGCCTCCTCTTCGAAGAAAATTAAAGCACAGGAGATAAAAGGAAAGGAATCCCTGCTGTCTTTCCAAGTCATGCTTTTCTTCCACTCATTTGGATCTGGGGGAGCTTCCCCACACTGAGTGGCTTCCCCCAGCAGAGGTGAGGCACATCTACCTCCACCAGTGGTCCCAAGCCCTGTGCTAAGGGAATTGCAGCCACCAAAAGAAGCAGTGGGTCCACTGATAAAGTGATGAGCAAAGCAATTTAAGCATTTAAATCTTGCTTTGGGTGAGAACAGAGGGAAAGACAGGAATGGCTGAGCAGAGAAAGGGCCAAGTGACCACTCCTCACCCTCCTGCCCCCAAGTCACAGCACATTTAATGCCACCAACACACAGCCCTGAGGTAAAAGCTGTGCAGGAAAGAAGTCAACAGTGATTATTTACTCACTAGCTGAAGAGGTAATTTGTGCTATATTGTGGAAAGTTTTAGGTTTCCTGATGCATGGGAGGCAAAAAGCCCCTAAATTAGGACGCATGGGTTGGCACCTTCAATGGAGAGAAGGTGTATGGTGTTTAGCCTCACTTTCTTTCATGGGGCTGCAGTGCTTAACTGTGCTTAATCCTTTTTAATGAACACTTTGCTGATGCAAATCAGCCCACAGCTGTCTGTTCAAAGGAAAATACAGAAAAATCTTTTGAGAGACTGTGACTCTGTAAGATAGACTTGACTTAACTAAAGAGTGCCAACACAAAGGTGAGTGAAAAATAACTGCAAGTTAAAAATACACTTCTAGGAGGATGTTTCAGAGGAGAATGTTTTCTGAACTGGTGAATTTTTCATTTCATAGTTATGAAACGAATAATAATTTGATTCTACTCTTTTCTCCAAAAATAGTTCAGAACAGAGAAATACTAGCACTGTTTTCAAACAGGGCTTTCCTGTACTTTAAACCTACTTTCTTTCGAAAGGCAGGAAAGAGCACAAAGTAACACTGGCTGTTTTGCCAGTTGGAAAACATTTAGAAAGTGTGAGAATGTGAAGGGGGGAGGAAATCACATCCTACAGCTTTGTCACCATTTTTCAGCTGGAAAAATATTGGAAAGCAGAAAGATGTTTCTTTTTTCATACATCCTTAGTTTGTAGAATGATTCCATAGGAAGACCATTGTCTCCCAGGAAAGATATTCAACCCAGGAAAATCAAGAATTTTCAAGCACTCTCTAATCACACACCTCTGCAATATTTCTACTCACTGACTGATACACAGGACATTTGTCAGGCTGGATATTCACTCCTAACGATAATATGTTACTACAAATGCAGTGCCCAGATAGATCCTTCTGAGCATAATAATTTTCCATTTTTTTGCAGTGAGTGATTTTTTTTAAAAGAGTTTTAAATACACAGTTACATAGAAACACAAGACAAGCATTTCTTTCTTAAGACTCTACTCACTTAGGAAATATTTCAAATGTTTTCAAGAGCAGGATAATAAGGAGCACATACAACAACAGCAAATTTAGAACTTGAATCATTACTCAGTGACTTTTCCAGCTCAATTTGCCATCTCTAATAATTCTTACGTTTCTTTTTTCAATACTTTGAAAAGTTTGTTGGATGGCTTAATCAATCAAAACTATCACATTGCATAAAAATTTGATTTCCTTAAACTGGTGACCTTCCCCCCATCATTCAGCTTTGCTGGATGACCCTTCCCACTCTCACTGGAAGTTACTGCAATCAGACAGTATTTGGGGTATTCACATATCCTTTTGCCCAAGCCACCTTTTGCAAATCATTGCACAAGGTGCCGTGCTTTCCCCTTGCTCCACCAGAGGCTATTGCTTAAAAGATCCAGTTCCTGTAAAAACAATCATAGGTCAACGCTGAAAGAGTGATGGAAAGACCCATTTCAGTCATGTGTTTTTTGGCACGGAACCACTGCGAGTGCATAATCTGTATAAATGTTAGCTTTCTAAATAAACAGAACCTCTGGTTGCATGAAAGCAGAGAATAAAGTTGAAACTTGTTCCTCTCATTAAGCAGCGTTTCAAAACCAGGGCTTGTTTTGTTCTAAACACCCGTCAGTCCTGACAGATGATAATAAACAAATAGGAACAATAGCAACAAAGCCAACACAGCTACCCTGGACACTTTACTGTGTTCCTTTTCTCAAGTATGGAAGTGTTTTGCCCACTATATAACATGGAGTGGGAATGCAAAAGTCTTTCGGGCTCATATCCATACAGCTATTCTGTTTTGGGATGTTGTGGTGGTGTCAGCAGAGCCGTGCCCCCGGGGCAACCCTGTGGGCAGTGCCTTGATTCCATCTGTCCATGCTCGTGGGATGTTGGTGATGTAAACTTCCCACTTGGGACCTGTGAAGGTTATATGGAAACAGTCAGCTGCTGACAGCAGTCACTGTTCAATACTCTGTCCAGTTTTGACTCATTTCCAAACTGCAATGCTCTAAGCAGGAATTCTTTCACTTGGTGTTGCTGTTGCAACTCACCATGAAGTCACTGATATATGTAAGAGTTTGGGGATTTTTTTCAGCATAACCAGGACAGTAGTAGAGTTCTGTTTATGTGCTTAAAATAGCCTGGAAAGTAAAGGGGAAAAAAATAAAATTGATCCATCTGAAGCAATTATAAAAAAAGAGTCTCCAAATAGTGCACTGAGGTATTTTTGAAAGATATGAGAAAGTAGTGTTTTCTGTACACTATGCTGTAAATACCTTAAAAATCCATCCTTCCCTAGCCATACGTTAAGGAAGGCAAAGCAATGCAGACAAAAAGATACAGAAGTGGACAACAGTTGTCAATGTTAAAATGTGGCTTGTCTGTGGGCTCTGTTCCACCTCCTCCCCCTGTTTTCTTAATGCTCATAGGTGACCTTGCACAACACAGGCCAACATTTATAGGACAAATTAACTTTTTACTAGCTTTCTAAAATTTAAATCAGAATTAATTAAATGCTTTCATTGGTCAATATGTAAGTAGTTGATAAAGTATATCCCTAATACAGACTAATACATGGATACACAGGGTACACAGGGTTTACTTCTTTTCCCACACCTACAGCAATATTTGCCATCCATCTCTTCCCAGGACTGCCAGTGATCACTCACATGCTGCCTTTCTGGGAAAGCCAGAACAAGGAAAATAAGCACATCTTATAGCTGAGAGTGGACACCTCACATCACAGATAACGTAGGGATTGCTGAAGATGTGATTTCTGAGCAGTTAGAGTCATGCTGGTTCTGGAGGAGGAGGAATTTTGGTTCTAATGTAGGTGAGTTTTAAGTCACTCAGCAATTTGTCTGAGGCAAAGGTACAATACATAGCTTTCATTTTTTAAAAAAGCACTAAGATGATTTACTGCTTGTCACATAACACTAAAACATGGTTTACACAGGTCATTTTAAAATCACTTTCTTCTTTGACTGGGCTGCACGGTGGTGGCAGGACCATGAATCTTATATCGTGAGTGTATATTAATTTTCTTCCAGGTGTGTAAAGGCATTAGATTGAATTAAAAAAAAAACAAAGAAAAAAAACCCAACCAACCAAAAATAAAAACATGAAATAAAATAAAAATAAAATAAAAAAATACACCTTGTTCACTCAAAACCCCTTGCAAATGACTACAGTAAATTTTCTGGCACTTCAGCATGATTGACATGCGAGAGTCATGTTCTGGCACAGATATGTCCTGATGAAGTTATCCTTTTAGTGGTCACAGAAGGTCATCTTTTATGTCTTTACTCCTTTGTAAAAAAGGTCTTAGGTAGTTCTCCTCCCACTTTCATGTCTACACATGATTTCATAGCTTATTAACAATTTGGTGGCTTTCGCTGTGTTGTGTTTTTTTTTTTTTCTTTTTTTGTTGGCTGCCACCTTGGCTTTGCCAAAGTCTGTCTTGATCTGCAAGTGTGAAAGAAGGTCTTGGGCTGGGGCAGAACGTGACCCGTCATCTCTCCTTGTCTCACCGAAGATGTGCAGAAAGAAAGGGATAAGGATTAGCAGACACAGCCTGTTGCTCTGCTCCCATTCAGAGCTCAGAGACAGCAGATCTGTGGCGTGCACTGATCACTGATTTTAGCACTACCAAGCCCATAATCCCCCCTTAGTGCTCTCCAGCAGAAGCGACGTTTGAGTAGCTCATCTCTGTCTCACCCAGCAGAGGCCCTTTGGACAGGAGAGCTGCATGAGCTTCCCTTTCCTAGGAAAAAGGAATTTTGCTCTCTTCCAGAGGCAGATAAACACAAATCAGTGTTCCCATAAAGTCTCTTATGTCTGCTCAGAAGAGTAAAAAAAAGCAGGGAGAACTACACCTTTGCTGAACACCTAAAACAGTGTAGTTAAGCATTTTTTAGCTCAAGTCTGTGTCATTCATTTGGCAAACAAAGCCTTCATGTATTACTTAAATTCCCAGAAAACTATACTGTATGCAAGATATAACTGTTTGAGTGTGTTTTAATGGTCACTTGATCTTATTATAAATTAGACCACTAAATACCCTACTATCTTGATAGTGTTTCTTGTCTCTTCCTCATTTTGAAAATCAAATTTTTTGAAATGCCAAAAATCTCTAAAGGCATTTCTGACATTTCAGAAAATATGCTGAGGCTCTTGTCAGCATGGAAAACTGCCTGAATATCATTAATAAAACGTAATTAAACATAATTTTCTCTGAATTATGTCATATTTTTCATTTTTTGAAGTACAAAAGATATGTAGATGAAAACACTCAATTCTATAGATGACTCGAAAGTTCAGAATTGCCCTGGAGATCTTTGTGTCAGCCAAAGCAGATGCTGCGATAAAATTACACATACAAATACTTTAGCAGGTTGTTCCTAAAACTAGAATCCTGTTTATTGGAAACTCCCTACCTTTGGCAATTCTCATCAGTTGCTATAATAAATACTCCATTTTTTTCAGGCACAGTGTTCGTTTAACAGAAGCTCTGGAAGTGTTTGTGAATTTTTTGCATTGTCTTCCAGCAGTCCCCAAACTAAACAGTACTCATAAATCCATCCTTTATCCTTGTTTAGTTATTAAATGTTTCTGTTGGATCTGTTTCAGAGACATTTGAACTTTTCAGATGGCAATTTAGTAATTTGTAACAAGTCTTAAGTGAACTACATCCACTTTGTTAAGGGGTTTCAATAACCTTTAAGCCCTCATGATACAATGGAATTGCAACTCTAAAAATCCTTAAAACATGACTTAAAAATACTCAACTTTTCTTATGCAACACGTGAACACTTTCTGGCATTTTGGATGCCTTGACTCTGTCTTGATTTTGTTTAGAAACTGAATTATATATATGTATACAGAATATGTATTATGCATTCTGTGTGTAGATCTTACAGATCTTATGGCATACAGAATATACTATCATCACATACAATATGAAATATAATTAAAATATGTGTAGAAATACATGCACTTAAACTGGAAGGGGGACAATTGTGGAACAAAAACTGCAAGGCAAGTGGCCAAGCACATTTGTGAAACTATAATTTAAAATTAATTTAAAATATAGTCTTTCATTTTATTGGGTTTTAGTAGGTCATCTAGATATTTAGACCTATTTGAAAAAGCAGCTGTGTGGTATTTTCGTGTTAAAATCTCTGTATGTCTATAATGTTTTCCTTCGTGCCATTATTTCTCACTGACAGGTAAGGGGAGGTTTTGACACTGTTAATATAACATAGGGTGTTAATCTTATAATCGCCCTGTCAGCACTTGGTGTCAGGGTGTTAATGGCCACCTTTCAGCCACTCAGCCTCGCCTGCCAATAAAAACAGTCCCGGCACCTCTCCAACCAGCAGCTCTGCAGCTACTCTGCTTTTCCCCCAAAGAATAAACAGAAAATTTCACTAGCCATGTGGCTGCAAAGATGCTCCTTTCTCCTTACTCATTTCCTTTTCCTTCTCTGCACCCATTGGCAGGAAAAGTGACTTTGACACTGAGCCCTTCTAATGTACCTTGCATGCTTTTTTTTTATTTTAAAATATACGAATTAATTTTCAAGTTTTAAATAAACATAACACCTTGGACAGGATAAAAGAAGAATTTTTTATCAGTGAGAAGCACAATTATTTGCCACAGCTCTTTGCTATTAAGTGTAACTCAAACACAAATGCTGTATTTCTGTAATTTCTCAACGGTTGCAATAAGTCTGTATTTTTCTCTCTGCACAGGAGAGGGGCTTTTCCAACTTCCTGGCAGAAGGAGTTTCACAATTCCAGATGACTTACTTTATGTGCCTAGAGGAACTTTATTACACAAATAACAAAGGGAGACAAAGAGAGGAAGAGGGAGAGAGCACACACTCAAAATAATAAACAAAGAATAATAAACATTCCTGCAGTTATCCGTAGGGATTCCAGATGCTGCTCCATCCCTCCACAAGGACTGCCTGCCTCTCCTTCAGACTTCTTCTCTGAAAATCTCGCTCTCAATCTGGTGAAACCCCAGGAGCTTTTGAGCACAGCGAGACTGTGAGTAATCGCCACATGTGCTCAGTTGCTCTCTGAAAGGCTGTTCTGCCACAACCCCAATCCATACAAAAAGAATTGATCTGTGATATTATGGATCATTCCAGGGTGGATTTCAAGTTCCTTCAAAGAGCTCATTGCCCTAAAGCTGTGGTCCTTGTGGCCTGATGTATTCTGATGATGAATTTCCTCCCCATCCTGCTTCCCATATGGCTTCCGCTGTTGGTATTCAGGGTCTAAATCACAAATCCTACATTAAATACAGGTGTAAATACCTTTCAGTAATGTGTGGGGAGGCCAGAGCTGTGATGAAACCCCAGAGTGAAGCCAGTTTGCTGCTCTTACTATCTTGTTGGGTTTGGATTTTTACTTAAATGCTTATAGGTTTCCTCTAATCAAAGTGACATGGCTGATTGGCCGGGGCTGGTTCCAGCATCATGTGCTATCCATCTGGATTTTATAGGCATTGCGTTTTCCCAGCTGAAAAGAAACAGACGTACGGCCCAGCTAATTAGAACTCAGTCCCAAAAAAAGTAACAGTTTGTTCCTAGAGAAAAATTTGTTTCTCATGTGGGATTTTAATGCAGACCAAAAAAAGTAGCAAAGCATAAACAATCGCCAGTTTCCATGTCATACCAAGCCAAAGATGCAGTCAAAATTATTTCTGTATTAAAAAATGCCAGGATTTACTTAGTCTTTGCTTGCTATATTTTATAGTAAGCATGAATGCTGGGATTCCTATTATCTTGGATGCACAAAGATACTCATTATATCACTACATAAAGAATGGTGGGGGTTTTCCACATTCCTTCCATAGTATTTCACATGCTTTGCAGCAGCAAAATAAATGTGAAAGGTCAGACACCTAAAACAGATCAAGATATTCTTTATCTTGTTACAATCAGGCATTAATATATAAAATTTTTGGAAAGAAGATAATGGAATTGGATTCTAAATGTAAGGGGATATTAGAAGGTGTATCACCAACTTCAAGAAAAGCCCAAGCAGTCAAGCATCGTCCTCTGAGGTCATCACCTCATCCAAGCCACAATGGCTACTGCCAGTCCATTTAAATATTTATTTGAGGTTTTAATATTATCCAGCATATCATGTCTCAATTCTGCAGGATTACTCATTGCCGATATTGTAAATATTTGTGGAATTGCAGCTAAATCAAAGGGAAGGTTTAAGTGGCACTTTTATATGTATTATATACTTCAAAATACCTGCACTACCAGGGAGTATTCATTCATATAGAATGAATTTGGAAGTGGAGGTCTATCACTACTTAAAGTGAGTTACTAGTTTATCCCATACTGTTTCCCTTTTTATTTTACCTCTTATCAGGCACTCATAAAAATACCTGTACTTGGCCAGAAGAGAGAAACGTTACCATCTGCAACAAAACCATAGTTTGTTCTGTAGTTTTTGTGGTCAGCAGTTTGGAGAGTGAACATAGATTCAAATTTGGACATATGCAGAGATGTGTATGGAATTATGTGTCCAGAAACGTGAGGGAGAGGGGAAAGGAAGAGAAAGAACAGCCCTTCCACCTGCAAATCCCAGAGCAGTCTAAATTGGTCACTTCACCCAGGTCTGCCTGCCAGGCAATTTTCACATCCCAGTCATTAGCTGTGCAGGAATTTCAGAGTTTCACATGTTGGGAAGTCTGAGCAGGTCACTATAGTTTAAAACAAAGAGGTCCAAGACTCCTATCCAAACAGCTGTGCTTCATATTTGAATTTTAGCCTTGTGGACTGTGAAAACCTCAGACCCCTTGGTCCCCAAGGAAGTCTTGCATAAGCTTTGTTCTCAGTTAGTGGAGCACAGAGAAAGTAAAAGGTCCAGACTTCAGCTGACCTTGGAACAGTGAGAGTAAGTGGTCAAGTCCCTCTCTTATATCTGTGTATATTTAACTCCTGTTAACAGTAATGGGACTAACATCTGCATGGTGAGGATCAGCTATAACCCTAAAGTAAGCAAATTAGGGGAAGCCAAGAACAATCAAACTTTATTACATTTTAGAATTTTGCCAAAACAATAGTTATTCCAGAATTATTTTATAGGTTAAGCAAACCTCTCCATCTGCAGTGGGATTTCATCTTCCCAGTAGAACTTGGTTATTTACCAGCTTTTCAGTGGTTTAGCTTTGATAAGCAAAGCAAGTCTCCAAGAACTCTTACGCAAAAAGGAAGCAGCTGCTTGCAGAGATGAGACACAATGGTAAAGGAAACCTCCTGGGAACATTCTGACAGGCACAGTGCTTACAGACTGCAGAGATGTGAGAAGGAGGGAATGCTCTTCAGTTTTGTGAGCTCTTCTTCTTGGTGGGAAAGTGGTTTTGGGAGAGTGGGAAATTCATATGAACTCGATTTGGTATTTCTGAGGACAGAAGTTCTTTATTGACAGCCTGGGTGGTGCTAACATCAATGTGTCCCTTTGCACTTCATTGCTGGCTTACAGAGAATACTTGGGAAGAGCCAAGTTCACCCTTCTTGTCTTTAAACCCTCGGTTGTCCCTCAACCTTTGGCTAGCAGTTATTTTTGAGGAAGATTTTGGAGATGCTGATATTTTGTCAGTCAAATTTGGACTGAGGCCACTGAAGCAATTTTCACAAACTACCACTGGATGCAGCACTCAGCTGGTCACAGTTTTCAGTTGCCACCACCCTGCCTTTGACCAAATTGGCTTAATGGGGGGGCTGAACCCTTCAGTGTTAGCCGAGGGATTCAGCCACAAGATGATTAATAGAGAGTGCACAGTCAATTCCCTCGTGGCTCTACAAAAACTGTAGCCAGACCTTCAACAGCCCATCAATAACATTTTGAGCCATCCAGTCTGTAATTCCCCAAAGAGATTGTCAACACCAGTGTAAGAAACACGGGGGGCAGAGTGGAATTTGTGCACTTGACTGAGTTACTGCTTTGAGACCTGCGGGCTTCAGCAGACTTACATGCAGGACCTTGCGGGATGGCAGAAGAAAGCTGTCTTCTGTTTCTCTGACAGAAAGGTGCTTGTAAGGAGGAGGATATGCAACCCAATAAAGACCTACAGCAATAAAAAATGAAAGGAAAACTGACTGTTTCTTAGAGACTGCGTGGCTGGGCACAAAGTTCCAAAACCATATGAAACTCACCCCATTTACATATGAACTTAAGACAGAAGAAGAACCCACCATAAAAGAGAACAACTGTGTGGCCTCAGTAAAGCCAATCAAGTGCCTGCTGTACATCCAATGGCGTGGCAGAAGACACAAACATGTTCAACAGGTATGTATGGCAGCTCTGGGAAAATGGAAAGCCCAACAGTTATCTTCTGAAAAGACACTCCACGTGATTATTGGGCACTTAATTTTCCCTGATTGTATCAATTTATCTGTTATTCAGACCTTAGATGGGAAAGTGGATTACAGCTAGTTCTATTTCTATATCTAGTAAGGAAACAAACCAAAGAAAGTACCAGTACAAAGTGTATCCTGCATATTTCAGGCGAGCACTGGCTGGCCCTGCTTGTGACATAGCCTCCCTCTGGCAATCCATTTGGTAGAAAATATGTATAAAAATAAATTATTTGATTGAAAAAACCATGGTGGAGATGATTCATCCATCAAGGATGCTGAAACATCTCAAAGAAATAGCAGTTTGGTTGGCATATCTAGACACACACAGTCCTTGGTGATGTTCTTAAAGGCTTTTAAAATTAATTTGTTTCTTTAAGAAGAGAATAAAGTCTTCTGAGATTATGACTTGGAGAAGGTGGAACTATTTCCAGGTTTGGCAAGCTCTGTAATAATAAAAAGGTCAGTCATTCCCTCTTCTTCCCACTCTTCTTCCCGCTGTTCTTCCTGACATCCTGACACTCTTCTGTTTTACTGGTTTGGTCATGCTTCTGAAACAAATGCTAACAAGGTAATAGTCATAATTTTCCAGGAATTTGGAATAATTTCTGCTGTTGGGTTTGTCCCCATAAACACTTTTTTGTGCGGAATTGATCATTTTAACTCATGTTGTAGTTTTAATGCATGGTTGTGAGGCCGTTAATTCCAACATTAATAAATGGTTTTCCAAAAAGCGTGTATATGTAAGGAAACAGAAATGTCATTATTTCTCCAGTGTCAATGAGAATGGAACCAAACACACCTGAATTTTTGTGAATTCTCATATTTAATCCATTCAATTTAATTACAGGATCATAGAGCTTTTAAAAAATACTCAGTCTCCTCTGGCTCTGGCACTCTCTATCTGCTAATTCTTCTAAAATTGGCTTTTATGTGCTGAATAATCAGCCTTTTGTTTTCACTGCTTACATGCCATGTTATGAAAAATCTCTAAACACTTCTCACTAATTATTAAAATGCCACCATTGATTATAATGAAATATTTATTTAATTTATACCACCAACTTTTTTTCCACTTAATTCAAGATTGCCCAACACCTTTGTACTGTAGCTTCCTGGACAGTTAAATAATAGATTAAGCTTCATTTTGGAATAACAGAAAACATAGCTTTAAATTATTTAAATTGTTGGCTCTTCAGAGCAATGGATTTTCCCATTATGAGTTTGCTCAGTGTCTCAAACAATGTCATGAGCAATTTTGACCAAAACAACTACATGTTTTAAATAATAGAACACACACAGAGTGCAACATCACAGTAGTTTCTAAATCACACTTTCAAAGGCATTGATGCATCCTGAATGGTACCAATGATAAACTGGTATTTCGAAGAAGTCAAAAACTTTCTCCAGTGCAGAGAAGCTGATCAGCATGGAGAAAAGAGTGATCATGGAAAAACTGAATGCTTCTACAGAGAAACTTGGTAAATAAGTTCCTGCCTGGTTTTCTTCCTTCATTTACAAACAAGACTAGTTTCCAAATGCAGCTAAACTGAGATTACAGAGCTGCTTTTAGTTTGTGTGACTAACAGAGGGGAAACTATCTCTTACCACAAGTTGAAAAGCATTGGAAAAATAATGATGGACCTATTATTCTAAAGGATACAAAAACTGGCCTGAGAAGAGTAGTCATTTCGGACTGACCACCAGCATGCACACTGGTATTTTCCTTTTCTGTTTACCATATTTATATAAATATTCACCAAGTGTTTATTTGTAAGACTTCAGCTGGCACTTCCTGTACACCCTAAAATTTCATCAGCTTCAGTGGGTGTGTTCCAGGATGCCAGCTCAGGCCTAAGGTCTTGAATTATGCATTGCATATTTTTTCCTATCTGAATGAAAGCCTGTTAGTCTACTTCCCCATCTAAGCATCAGGCCTCTGGTGAATATTTATATTGGAAGTCAAAATCCTCAATCAAAGGAGAGTTTCAAAAAAGATGAGGCTGCTTTGGAAATTCTGGTCTCGGTGACACGACAATCCAGAACTTCCCTGCAGTTTTGAAGCTCACATAACAAACATAACACAATGAAGTCTGAATCAAAGCAAGTAGCCAAAGTTAGTAGCAGTGTTTTCCTTCCCAT